TTTCGTTGCTACTTAATAACTGTAATGTTGCTACTGTTATGAATCGTAATGTAAATATCTGATATGCAGGATGGTCTTAGGCGACCCCTGTGAAAGGGTCGTTCGACCGCCAAAGGGGTCGCGACCCACAGGTTGAGAACCGCTGGCCTAGAATCTTGTCACTTAGCCAGACATCCTTAGCTCTGAGGTTAGCTAGGTGCATGGCCTCACTTCAAAGTCAAGGTTCTGTTAAGAACTTACAAAGAGAGGGAGGGACATTTATTAAACCACCATCTGTGTCTGTCACAGACTCCCAAAACATGAGCTAGCTCAAAAAGAACTGCTTGATTGGAGGAGAGCCCTGTCCACCTTTACTGGTGGCCCCTGAAGTACCTTTATGGGACCCTGGGGTGCCTGGGAACCCAGTTTGAAAACCATTGCTCTAGGCCAGGGGTCAGCAAGCCTTTCTGCCAAAAGCCAGATAACAAATATTTTAGACTTTGAGGACCATGTAAAGTTTTTGTTACAACTCTTTTTGTAGTGCTTTATTTACTTTTTTAATCCTTTAAAAAATGAGAACACTTCTCGGCCTGGCCAGGTGGCTCATCTGGTTGGACTGTCATCTCCTATACCCATGGTCGGCAAACTGCAGCTCTCAAGCCACATGCGGCTGTTTGTTCTCTTGAGTGTGGCTCTTCCACAAAATACCACGTGCGGGCGCGCACGCACAGTGCAATTGAAACTTCGTGGTCCATGCACAGAAGTCTGTATTTTGTGGAAGAGCCACACTCAAGGGGCCAAAGAGCTGCATATGGCTTGCAAGCTGCAGTTTGCCGACCACTGTCCTATGCCATAAGGTTGCAGGCATGATACCCAGTCCGGTCCTGGCACATATGGGAGGCAACCAATCAATGTTTCTCTCCCTTCCCAAATAAATAAATAAATAATAAAATAAATAATAAAATAAAATATATCCTCTTAATTCAGGGGCCAGTACAAAGACTGGCCACAGGCCAGATTTGGCCCAAGGACCATAGTTATCCAACGCCTGCTCTAAGAGATGTCGGGGCACACAGATTTGAATGCAGAGTGAAGGATAGGCTGTATACAGTGTACCTCTGTGATCATACCTACTTCATGTGCTGCCACTATCCTGCCTCAGAAAGGTGTTTGGGAGCTTTATTGATCAGCATGTTAGTTAATGAGCCATTATAAGATCCTGTGTTTAAACAAAGGCCAAAGAGAAGGGGAGAAACTGGAAGCATCGGTACATTGTGCACTGGGACCCGTCCCAAAGCCGAAGTCTAGTGTGTGTTGCTTCTGTCTGCTTGGTGTGATTAGCGCCTGTGTTAGGGTCACATGCTAAAAGAGCAGTTCACATCCATGGCTGCTCTGGCCAGTGATATGAATCATTTTATGGCTCTGGGTTCTGGCCGTCATAGCAGCGTTTCCCCATGAGAGACCTAGTAATCATGTGGTCCCTTTTTTGGAGGTGGCATGGTGAGCCAGTGCCCTCTGCCCCCGGGGCTGGCTAGAAGCAGGCGTAGCCAGGACCCCTGGTCCCTGCAGAGGCCAGGCCCCTCCTCCTGTCGAAGGCGCTGCAGGCCTTGCGGCATTTTATGTGCACCAAGTCCTTACTGAGCTGCTGAGATCCAGATAAAGGGCTTAGGGCAGGTTTGAGAGGATAAGCCATGCTCCCTGCCTCGTGGACCGAGACCCCGCTGGGGCGCTCTGAGGCAGCAGAGCAGAGCGGCAAAGAGTCTGGCCTCTGGCGGACTGATGAGTTCCAGGTTCTACCACTCAGCTGTGTGATCTTAGGCAAGTTGCTTAAGGTCTCGTGCCTGAGCTTTCCCATTTATAAAATAGAGGTATCATCGTAGCAGCTTTTGTAAATTTTACATGAGTTTATGTGTGTAAAAGGCTCAGAGCAGAGTTAAGCACATTGTAGGGTGAGCTCTTAGGGTGAAGAAATCTCATACGAGAAGATGATCAAAACTGTGATTAAGTATCTCAAAGAATCTTCTAGACCAGGAGTCAGCAAACTACTGCTAATGGGCAAAATCCAGTTTGTTGCTTGTTTTTTTTATAAATAAAGTTTTGGTGAAACAGCCATGCCCATTCAGCTGGCTGTGTTCACTCTGCAACAGACCATGGTCTGCACAGGGGAAAATATTTGCTATCTGGCCCTTCACGGGAACAGTTTGCCAACCTTTGTTCTAGACCATAACTCCTGTGAGGGATCCGAGAAGCTAGTGATCAGTCGATGCTAGAGAATCAGGAAAGGTTTGAAAGTGTCCTCCCACTCAACATTGTCTAAGCTGAGAGCATATGCCTGGCATGCCAGCAGGCACTGGCAGTAGAGAGACAATGAGATGTGATCCTACCCTTCAGGGAGTTTGCGGTGTAGTGGAGGCCCAGGTACACAGATGAGTCAGTGCTGCAGGTAAGTACTGACAGAGGTGGGAAGAAGGGGCCTCAGGGAGCACATGGAGGACAGAGGGCTCAAGGATGAGGAGACATTGCTGGGGGCCAGGAGAGAGAGGACCCAACATAGGGGTGGCCAAGAGCTCCTGCGGTGGGAGGGCAGCAGGGAGCAGATGCCCAGGGCTCCTCCCCATGTGTGTGGGGGGGTGAGGGTGGAGCAAGGAAATGGTGATGTCATCCTGTAGGCGGGACTGGGAGAGTGAGGATGCAAAGGATATTCTAGCCTGAGCAGCTGACCCCAGGATGATGACAGTAGCCAGCAGGGAATGTGGGAGGCAGGTTTGCCTGCTCAGTGGGAAAGCCAGAAGGGCCCCAGCATCCCATCGCTATTGACAGTTACAGTCCATCCCCTTTCTAAGGACCCCGCTGCTGCGGTATTGCCATGGCCCTGAGATCCGTCTCTGGTTTCCCAAGGTCCCCCAACGCTGTTGCTCCTAAAGCAGCAATTTCACCTCATACCTTTGCTTACAACTCTTCCACAACCCTCCCTTGTCTTTAGGGCAAAACCCAACCCCTTAGCATGACAGACAGCCCTTCCTGGGCCAGCTCTGCCTACTTCTCTTGCGTCACCCCCACCTTCTAGTAAACAACTCCAGATCTACCAGGAGTCTCTGGACAAGTCCACGTCCTTCGCCTTTGCCAGGTCACCTGATCCTCTGCCCGATTGCTCTCCCTTCCTTATCCTTGTATTGAGTTCAGTTCACCTCCCAAACTCAGCCTGGGGTTCCTTTCCTCCGGGAAGCCTGCTCTAGCCCTTCTAGCTAGTGGCCCTCACTCCTGTCTGTCCTGTCTGTCCATGCTCAGGGATGTTCTTACACAGAAATGCTCTTCTCCGTGAATCCCATGCCTGTGCGAGGGCCCTGCTCAAGTGGCACCTGGGCTCATGAGTGAGTGAGACAGCTATTCGCTTCCGAGGCGCCTGAAGGCACCTTGGGGTGGGGCCCTGCCGGCACCCTGGCAGTGTGTGGGTGCTGGGCTCTTTGGTTTGGATGGAGGAACCTGCACAACCAGGAAAATCTATCCACAGGATTTCTCTTCTCCTTGGTTCATAGAATAGAGAACTAAGCCGCACCCAAGCCTCCCCACTGGGAGACTGAAGATCTTCCTCAGGTTGAAGCCAGGTTGCCAGGGACAGAAAGATCCAGATTAGACAGTAGCCGTGGTGCCTCCGTGGTCCTGTCTTCACGAGTGGCACCACCACCCATCCACCCAGTGCTCAAACCAGAAACCTGCACGTCATCGTAAAGCCCTCCTCCCCCTCAACCCCGCAGGCATGCGGTCACCAAGCTCTCAGTGTTGCTGGGACCTGTGTCTGTCCTGTCCCCATCCCCTCCTCCATCCCTCACCTGGACCCCCACAGAAACCTCAAGCATCCTCCCCACCTCTGGCCTCACTCCTCCCACAGCGGTTCCCACACCAGCAGCCAGACTAATGCTTCCTCAAGCACCTATATGTCCCTGCCGCCCACTGTTTAAAACTTCTACCGCTCCTCCCTCAGAATGAGCCCCAGCTCTGCAGGGCAGGGGAGGTCTTGAGACCCTTCGAACCTAGCTCCAAGCAGACCCCCTAGTCCTGGCCCTTCTAGAGTCACCTCCTTGCACTAGAGGGCCAAGTACATTGTCCTCCACTCCCAGGCAAGGCAGCAGCAGGTGTGTTTAGTTTGTGGACTTGCCGTGGACTGACACTGAGTACTTGTTCTGGAATGTTCCATGTCTGCCACAGCACAGGCCTTGTGCACCTGACTCTACCCATCCCTCCCTCAGCACCCCCCATTGGCTGGTGTTCCACCCCCTCTGGATTCTCAGATCCTCCCTCCTGCCTCCACCGCAGGACAGTGAGCCACATGCCCCTCTGCCCTCCCCCAGCCCTCGCATGGGGTCCATCACCCTGTGTTGTGGTTGTCAGTTTGCTTCTCTGTCTCCCCTGCTCACTGAGAGCAGGGACTGTGTGGAACCCCAATGTTGAAACCCCATCCCCTAGCCTGGCATATGGCGAGTGCTCCATAAATATTTGTGGAAGGCAGGACTACAACAAGTAAAAGAGAAGAATCTTGTCGAAATCTCCTTCCTAGACCATTCATTTATTCAACAAATAAACGAAGAGGATGGAGAAAGCGGGCAGAGAGACTGAGAGAAGTCTGCAGGTCCCTGGGGGCAAATAGCTGAGATTCCACACGTGGCCTGAAAAATTGCCACCTCGCCCATGGGGGTTCCTGTGCATTAAAGCATGAAGAACGAGTCTAATCATCTCAGAGTCGGCCAGATGTGCCTGGTGTTGCCATGGCAGCCCCCAGAATTGGGCAGATGTGCCATGAGCATCTTTGGAAAACATCAGGGGACCCCAGAGACTATATGGCCTGGAAGGAAATAGTTCACACTCAAAACGCGGGCATGGAACTGCTCAGTGTGGATTGAGGGTCGTGTAGGATGGTGCCACGGGGACTCTGGGCATCAGAACATAACAAGGAAATGTCTTCCTGTTCTCAAGGCTCTCCCGGCTGCCCCTGTCTGCTCCCTAACCCCATGCTCCCTCCCTAGGTGATCAAGCTTGCCTTCGAGGAGTTTGACTTGGAGAGGGGCTATGACACCCTGACGGTCGGGGATGGTGGGCAGGACGGGGACCAGAAAACGGTCCTCTACATGTAAGTGAAGTAGGCATTCAGGTGGGAGGGCGGGAGCACGGTACCTTGGCTGAGGGTGGTGGGATGGGCTTGCTGGGTCTTGCCTGGTCCCCCAGACCACACTGTGACCAGGACAGGTGCCCTGTTGTGCTTCTAGTTTCAGCAACAGTCCCTTCACCTCTCTCTACTCCAGCCAAGGGAAACAGAGCACTGGGCCACATTCTCACGAGGGATTCACAGGAAAAGTGTACAGAACGAGCAGTTCTAGGGAGCAGGGAAATAGAGGTTTTGTGGCTGTCTGCTTTGACACAGACTCTCCTGCCACCCAGCAGTTTTTCCTCAAGGCCAAGTACGTCCGTGGTGGTCTGACTTCAGACAGAGACATGAAAGTGCTTTGCTAACCTCCCTGCCTGCTCTTAACGATCTGGGAAGTGGGTGGCCCTAGAGAATTAGGACCACATGGACATACACATTCTCTGAGTCCAGAAAGGTTAGCATCATATGGTCAGCCAAGGGAGAGGGTGCTAGCAGGCTCTCTGGGACTCCATGACATTGGGTCTTGGCTTCTCCTTTGCCCACCACCTGCTGCCTGTCAGGAAAATGCTCTTGTTTGATGCATGTGGTCCAGCTTCAGAGAAACAGGCCTGACCTCATCCATCTCCCCTGCCAAAAAGAAGGGGTGATTTCACATATGCTGAGCACCTACAGTGTGCCCAGGCACTGTGATGGGAACTTTCAGATCAGTTATCTCATTTAATTCCCACAACAGCCCTGTGAGAAAGGTGTTATTATCCCCGTGTAGTAGGTGGGGAAACTGAGGCCCAGTGGTTGCAAAAGATGGTTGGTGGCAGAATCAGCACTTGAGTTCGAGTCTTTTGATTTCAGTGAGGGATAGCATCCCTTGCCATACCCCCTCCCAGCCAGGCTAGCTCCAAGCTAATACCCTCTGGTATTAATAATGAATGAAAGATAGCTATTCAGTAATAACTAGCTTGTCCAGGAGCTGTTCTGTTCTGGGAACTTCCCACACTTTCTCATACCTGCCTGGAGAAGATTCCATCAGGGCAGTTAAAGGACTCATGATGTTACCCGCCAAGTCAGTGACATGGCTAGGACGTGGGCTCTCTCAGGAGAAAGGGAGGAATGTGAGCCCTGCCTATTCCACTGTGTTAATCAGGGTTCGCCAGAGAAAGAGAACCAATAGGGTATATATAGAGAGAAAGGGGTTTATTGTAAGGAATTGGCTCACATGGTTATGGAGGCTGACAGATCTCAAGATCTGCAGGGTGAGTCGGCAAGTTGGAAACCCAGGAGAGTGATGATGCAATTGTGGTGTGGAGCCAGCAGGCTCAAGACCCAGGAAGAGCTAATGTTTCGGATCAAGTCCAAGGCAGGGGGAAAACCCCCACAATGTCCCAGCTGGAATTCAGACAGGAAGCATCCTCTCTTAATCAAGGGAAGTTCAGCCTTTTTGTTCCGTTCAGGCCTTCAGCTGATTGGATGAGGCCCACCACAGTGGGGAGGGCAATCTGCTCACTCCATCTACCATTTAAATGTTAATCTCATCCAAAACCACAAACACACCAGGAATAACATCTGGACAGATGTTGTCGGGATACCCCAGGGCCCAGCAAATTCAGATAGCCATCTCACCCATCTCTCCCCTCCTCTTGGTGCCTCCCCACCACTCACCTGTCTTGGATCGCCGACCTATATGGTGTATCCGCTCAGTGTGCCCAAGAGGTCCTTCCACAACCCCATGTGCTTTTCCATGGAGAGAACCTTAGAAGAGCAAAGCTGAAAAGACTCTTGGGGATCATACAACCCAATCTCCTTCTTTAACATGGAGTGGAAAAGCCCAGAGATGCCCAGCATTTGCCCAAGGTCCCCCCACAAAGAATGGCAGAGCCAGGGCTTATTCCCAGATCTTTGTACTAATGGAATGTGAGTGAGCTCCCAGCAAGTCCTGTAGCAGCCCAGGGACTCACCCATCACCCCCGGATCTCTTTAGGCCAACGTCCATCTCAAACCTTCAGGGAAGCACATGCAACATGGTCAGGCTCCTTTGTTGTCCCAATTGGGTCAAACAGGAAAAGCAGAAGCCTTGGCTTCTCTCTTGCTTCCTGCCACCCCGGAGTCAGAGCCAACCCTGGCCTGGCCTCAGTCTACTCACGTGAGAGCCCCCAGATCAGGAATGTCACACAAGCTGGGCTGGTGAACCCCAGGTGGTCTGTCCCACTCCACCCCCATGGCACTCATGTGCTAAGCATCTCTCTGCAGCCAAGTCAACACCCCCGACCCCAGCTTTGAGACCCAGGGTAGAGCAGACCCATTAACGAAATCACCCCCTCTACAGCCTGCAGTCCCGCCTCTACAGTAAGGAAGCCAGGTTTCTTCCAGAAGCCCCAGCCTGTGCACTGGACGCTGGCTCTGCCACTCTGCAGCAAGCTGACCTCAGGAAAGCCGTTGCCCGTGTTGTGCCTTTGTCTTCTCATCTGTGCAGTGGGGATATAACCCCTCCCTCACTGGGCTAATGGGGGCAGTAAATGAGATAATGGGCGTGACGGTGTCACACTTGGATAGGTGCCTGGAAAATGTGAGTTGAGTGAGAAGCTTCCTGTGCTCAAACTTCAGAAAATGTGGCCCAGGGTCACGGCTGTGCTTTAAGGCTTATACTGGCAGGGAGGACACGTTGACTGAAAGGAATGGCTGGGTTCCCACCAGGGGAAGGGGTTTCTGTCTGTCTTCCCTGCAGTACAGTTCACACGAGAAATCAGAGGTTACAGGGTGTGGACACCCCTTGAGTAGATCCCATTCCAGCTAGCCCTGCCCCCCGAGCCAGCGAGGACACAGAGGTCTCTCATAAGCCCAGGGGCCTGGGCGAGGAAGTGAAGGTTGAGATTCAAGCTCTGCCCGTGGCCGAGGGGGCGAGGCGCTGAGTCCCTGGGCTCCAGTGTCAGGATTTGCCCGAGTGGGTCTGGCCCCGAGATGCTCCTGTAGGTGTCTTCAGTCGGCAGTCATTCTGGTGGGGTGCCATGATGGGGCACACACCTCTAAATCTCTCTCTCCTGACAGCCTGACAGGTACGTCGGTCCCAGATCTCATTGTCAGCACCAACCATCAAATGTGGCTCCTCTTCCAGACAGACGGCAGCGGCAGCTCCCTGGGATTCAAGGCCTCTTACGAAGGTAACTGCTCTTGGGGAGTGAGGGACCCGCCCTGGAGTCAGAGCCTCAGGGTCTGGATGTGGAATCAGCGAGCCCTGGGCTTGAACCTGATTGCGCACTAGCTTCCTCTCCTTGGAGCTCTTGACATCTCTGAGCCCCAGCCTCCATCCTTGTCCAGTGGGTCTTCTGGGTTGTTTTGAGGATTAGCTGAAGTAAATCACTTAGAATACTCGACACACAGCACTGGGCACATACTCAGTTCCATCCCCAACTCATACTAAGCTCATATAGACCTTTAAAAGGTCCCATAAACTGTCTAATCTCAGTTACTTCCTACCTTCATACTGGAGATAGGAGCTTCCCAAGCTGCTACCCACTAGGGGTGTTGGAGTGATGAGAGGTTGTGCACAGTGCTAGGACAGACACACGCCTGAGGAGGGTACAGATGAGGGTGATGTTCATCTCTTGATGGAAATAGCCATTAAGGGAATGGCAGACGCTGGGACCCAAGAGATGCCACCAGCGTCACCCTTCCCTGCACTTCCATGTCTCCTGTTGACTCATGACTGCTAATGCCGACCCCCACAGAAAGGAGAGAGAAGCCATCCCCCAGGGATCTGTGAAGGCCCTGTTAGGTGTCAGGCCCCAGGCCAGCACTAGGGAGCAGATGCATCAGGCCCAGGCCCTGTGGCAAGGGGCTCACTCTTTCTGCAAAAGCTGGGGAGCTATTGCAGTCAGGGGGGCGTGGCAGAGCCCATGGAGCCATGGAGCGTGGCATCTTCCGGGGCATCAGGAAATGTTTTATCCAGAAAGGGGGCCTTATGTCTTTAAAATGACAAGGTGACTACTAGAGAGACAGGAGGGAGAGGCGATCTTCCTGCACCCCAACTCAGAGACCTGAGCATTCTACAGGAGGCTGTTTAGGGGGAGCAGTGCCAAAGACTCATTTCACTCCGTGGGCCTCACGCCCCAGTGCTCAGGGGTCCTTCTGTACCAGGACCTGGACTGTCTCCACCCTGGATGCACAGCGTGTCCTGGGGCTGCCCTAACAAAGAGGCTCACACCGGATGGCTTGGTTCAAAGGCAGTGTGTTCTCTCACAGCTGGAGGCTAGGTGTCAGGAGGCAGTGCTCCCTCTGTGACTCTGGGTAGCATCCTTGCCTCTTCCTAGCTTCCCTGGGGATCCTTCCCTCAGTCCTTGGTGTTCTTTGGCTTGTAGCTGTAGCTCTTCGGTCTCTACTTCTGTTGTCACATGCAGCCCTGCGTGACTCTCTCCCCCTCTTATAAGACACGACTCATAATGGATAAAGGGCCCTCCCTACCTCCAGTATGACCTCATCTAAACTTGATTACTTCTGCAAAGAACCTATTTCCAAATAAAGTCACATTCACAGTCACCAGGGGTTAGGATCCAACATATCTTTTGGGGAAGACAATTCAACCCATAACAGGAGGCCAGGCCATATTTCCTGCACTAACATTGTCATAGCTCAGTGCCCACTGGGGTGAGGACAGTGACTGCACTGTTCTAAGATCAGGAAGCATATGTCTGGATGAGACAGAGCAGCAGGCAGAGAGCATCTATTGCAGCGGTTCTCAACCTGTGGGTCGAAACCCCTTTGGAGGTCGAACGACCCTTTCACAGGGGTCGCCTAAATACATCCTGCATATCAGATATTTACATTACGATTCATAACAGTAGCAAAATTACAGTTATGAAGTAGCAACAAAAATAATTTTATGGTCGGAGGTCACCACAACATGAGGAACTGTATTAAAGGGTCGCGGCATTAGGAAGGTTGAGAACCACTGATCTATTGGGTGACAAGCGCTGAGTTCAAATCCTGTTCTCTGGCTTTCTAGCTCCAGAGCAGGTCAGGGAGCCTGTCTAGGGTTCCATTTCTTCATCTGTGAAGTGCAGATAATAATACAACCTAGCTCCCAGGGCTCCTGTGAAGATTACGCTTAGATAAAGAATGTGAAAGTAAGAAGTGTCACACATTGCAACACAATAAGTGAGTAACTAAGGAGTGCAGACATAGGTAGTTAAAAGAATGGGCTCTTCTGGTGCCTGGAGTTACACTCAAGTAACTGTGGGGCGGTGGAAAGAACATCAGGCAGGAAATCAGGAGATGCAAATTCAGGTCCAAGCTCTGGCACTCACTGCTTTGAAAAGGGGAATGAACTCGGGCACGGAGTTTCTAAGGTTCCCCCCTTTCTGAACTTCTGTGGATGTTCCGCAGTGATTGTTTCCAAAGCGGGAGGAATGATCCTGTCATCCACACGCCCTTACTCTGTCCATATTTTATCAATGGCTCAGGTTAGACATAAATAGCATGAGCTTGAAAGACAGGCCAGTACACCAGTCCACATGCAGAAAGATCTCGATGGGAGGGGCTGTGGGCTAAATTACCATGACCAGATGAAGCAGGGATAACTGTCAAGCATGTTTAAGGTTCAAAAAATTAGCTACTAGAATTGATCCCAGGGAGTTAGTGTGCTTTCTTCTGTTCTGATCAGGCATCAGAGAATTGAACTTAGATGTGGGGACCGCAGCTTGAGAGGGACACGGAAAGGACACAAGCCCAATGAGAAACGCTTATCCGGGGTAGAGTAAACTCAAGGGAGACCTGAGAGCTGGGTCCAAGTATTTGAAGGATTGTTTCGTGGGAAAGACGAATTAGGCCTGTTTGGTGCAATCTCATTGGAATAGAAAGGGACTTGTTGAGAGCTCCCTGTGCCAGAAGCTTTATGTTAGTTATCTCAGGGTTTGCAGTGCCGTGTAAAGATTTGGAGTGCCCTCAGGGACCACCATGGTGGGGTAATAAATGGAGATAATAACGATCTCACAACATGTTAAGAAAGGGAAAGGAGATCACAGAAAGCTCCTGGCAGGGTGTCGGGCACAGAGGAACTTCCCCTGGAGGCTACTAAAGTTCCTCTCCACCCACACCTTCCACGATTGCACTGCTGTCCACTGGGTGTCCTTCTCTGCCCGGGGACACGTGGCTCCTTGCCATCCGCAGATGGCCAGATGACCTGTGCTTGCTCTGATAGGCCCCGGTTCTAGGGCCCCACCTCACACCTGCACTCCCACCTGGGCCCTGCCTCACATTCACACTCCCCACCTGGGCCCTGCCTCACGCCCGCACTCCCCACCTGGGCCCTGCCTCACGCCCGCACTCCCCACCTGGGCCCTGCCTCACGCCCGCACTCCCCACCTGGGCCCTGCCTCACACCCACACTCCCCACCTGGGCCCTGCCTTACACCTGCACTCCCCACCTGGGCCCTGCCTCACACCTACACTCCCCACCTAGGGCCCTCGCTGCCCAGACTGGCTGAGAAATGAGATGGTTCACTGTGGCCACAGTGTAGGGCCACAGCAGAGGTGGCAGAAGGCAGATCCTGGCCACAGAGAGCCTTGAGGCTTCATAAAGGGTTTGCACCTTGTCCAGTGGGAAGAACCGATAAGGACCAAATGTCAGGATGGGCCTGCCTTTCCCTTCTTGTCCCTCTACCACTGACCGTTTATTGGAGGGGTGAAGCCGATTGATCTCACACCTTCATGATGAAGAGCCCCCTGTACTGTAAAAAAGGGTGATTGAGTTCCCTGGCATCTGCTGCGACTGTGCCCCCTAAGCTGCTCTCGGGGCTTCTCCCACCTGCAGCCACCTGCTTCTTCAGTGCTCTGGCCGCTCTCTCGGAGCACCTGCATGGTTCCTCACTGCCCTTCAGGGTGGGTGCCTTTCAGTGTCTGTCCTTAGCCTTCCATCCTCTCTTTGTAGAACCTTCCACAGTTGATCACATCCATTCTCATGGCTCCAGCCTCAACCTAAATGCCAGTGACTTCCAAATCTGTTCCCACTTGCATTTTAGTCCACTGGTGACACATTTTATATAGCTTCTCCCTCAGACATCTCAAACCTAACCCATCTGTATTAGTCTGCTCATAATGAAATGCCATAGGCTGGGTGGCTTAAACAGAAATTTATTTTCTCACAATTCTAGGCTAGAAATACAAGAGCGAGGTTCTGGCTGATTGAGTGTTGGTCCAGGCTCTCTTTCTGGCTTGCAGATGGCTGCCTTTCATGTGGCCTTTCCTCAGTGCATGCACACGGATAGACAGAGAGCAAGCCCTCTTTGTCTCTTCTCATAAAGACGCTAACCCTGTGGGATCAGGGCCCCACCCATATGACCTCATTTAACCTTTATTACTTCCTTTGAGGCCCCATCTCCAAATACAGCCACATTGGGGGCTAGGCCTTCAGCATAGTAATTGGGCAGAGGCTGAGGACACAAACATTCATACTTAACACCATCCTAAACGAAGCTCTTCATCTCCCCCTCCCCACAGCCTCTGCCCCTGTGTCCCCATCTTAAGAAACAGTGTCACCATCCATGCCGTCACTCCTTCTCCTTTCACCTCCTCCTCCCTCTCCCACCGCTAACTCTGTCCTGGACTCTGACAGTTCTCCCTCTGCAGCGCCCCAGCCCCTTGTCTTCTCAGCTGCCAGGCCCTCATCGCCTCTCACTTGAGTGATAGCACAGGCCTCCTGCCCTGACTTGAGCCCCCACCCACCCCCATCTGCCACTTGCAGCATAGCCATGTCCCAGAATCCAAACCTGGCAGTTTCCTCCTCCTCAAAACAACTTTCAGGACAACTCCACATTGCTTTCGGGTAAGGTAGTCATTCGCTTGGCATCCCAGGCTCTCCATGATGGTAATTCCAAGCCAAATTCTGGTTTTTATGAATCCATTCTAGGCAGAATTCCAGTTTATTCATCTCTATAGTCCATAGGGCCTAACCCAGGGCCCGGCACACAGCGTGTGCTCAGTAAAGCTCACAGAATTAACTTGTAATGACATTTTGCACAGGCTCACTAGAACACCCTTCCTCAGCACCCTTTCAATCCCCTATCCCCCACTTCACCAGCTCCCAGAACTCGGGTGCCGAGAGCCCACAACTTCTCCACTGCCCCCTGGGCTTTAGGGTCAGACAAACCCAACTTATTGAGTTCTG